GAAGGAAACTTCATCTTGATAAGAGACTTCTACAGAAAAAACCCGAACATCATATTTAATAGTGAAAGACAAATGCTTTCTCTCCAAGATCAGGACAAAGGCAAGGAAGTCTTCTCTCATGACTTCTATTTGATAGTACACTGAAGGTTCCAGTCAGTGCAATACAGCAAGAAAAAGAAATAAAAGGTATTCAAAATGGAAAGGAAGAAGCAAAACTATCTTTATGGGCAGATAAAATGATTATCTATGGGGAAAACCTGATGGAATCTATAAAAAGGATACTAGAACTAATAAATGAATTTATCAAGTTTGTAGGATAAAAGATCAATATACAAAAAATTAATTTATCTCTAATACCTAGCAATAAACAATTAGAAATTGAAATTTTAAAAAATTTCATCATTAAAAAATAGCATCCAAAGTATAAAATACTTAGAAAAGTCTGAAAAGATGTAAAAGGCTTACACACTGAAAACTATAAAATATTCCAGGGAAAAATTAAAGAAGGCCTAAATAAATGAAGAGACATAAAGTGTTCATGGATCAGAAGATTCAGTATTGTTAACATGTCAATTCTCCCCAAATTGATTTACAGATAAAAATCCACCAGACTTGCTGTAGAAATTGGCAAGCTAATGCTAAAATTCATATGGAAATGTAAAGCTCCTAGAATAGCCAAAACAACTTTGAAAAAGAAGACAAAATTGGAGGACTAACGCTACCAGATTACAAGACTTATGAAGCTACACTTTCAAGACTTTGTGATATTAGTATAAATTTAGACAAACAGATCAAAGAAACAGAATAGAAAGTCCAGAAGGAAAGAGATATGGATAACTTATTTTCAGGTTCCAAGGCAGTTGAGTGGAGAATGGATAGTCTTTCCAACAAATGGTGCTGGAACTACTGGATATCCATATGCAAAAAAGCAAACATCAATCCAAACCATATATAGAAATGAACTCAAATTGGTTCAAAGATCTAAATATAAAACCGAAAACTATCAATGTCTCAAAGAAAACACAGGAGACCTTGTGTTGGGCAAGATTTCTTAGATATGACACCATAAGCATAGCCTAGAAAAAAAAAATGGATAAATTGGACACCATCAAAATTAAGAATTTCTATCTTGCCAAAGACACCCTTAAGAGAATGAAAATACGAGCTGCAAAATGGGAGAAAATACTTAGTAAATTACATATTTGATAGAGGACTTCTTTCCAGAATATATAAAGAACTGTCCAAATTCAATAATAATATAGGCAAAAGACAAATAAGCATATGAAAAGATATCTGACATCATTAATTATAAAGGAAATGCAAATAAAAGCCACACTGAGATGCCACTATACACCTGTTCAACTGTCTAAAATTAAAAACACTTACTATAGCAAGTATTAGCAAACATGTGAAGAAAATGGAAACCTCATACACTGCTGGATGGGAATGTAAAATGGTACAACCACTGTGGAAAATAGTTTTTTAAAAACTTAAACACACCCTTACCATAGGAACCAGCCATCCACTTCCAGGTATTTACCCCAAGAGAAATGGAAGTATGTATCCATATAAAGACTTGTACACATAGAAGCTTTATTTTTAATAGCCAAAAATTGGAACAAATCAAATGTCCATCAATGGTGAGCAGATAAATTGTGGCATATTCATATAATGGAATACTATTCAGCAATAAAAATGAATTATTGATATACATAACAACATGGATGAATCAAAATAATTACGGTGAATGAAAGAAGCCAGTTAGAAAAGAGTACTTACCACATGACTCCATTTATATAACATTCTAGAAAATGCAACCTAATTTTGAGTAACAGAAAGCAGATCTATGGTTACTACCCAAAGCAATCTACAGATTTAATACAATCCCTATCAAAATTCCAACAGCATTTTTCACAGAACTAGAACAATCATAAAATTTGTATGAACCACAAAAGACCCTGAATAACCAAAGCAATATTGAAGAAGAAAAACAAAACTGGAGATATCACAATTCCACAATTCAAGTTATATTACATAGCTGTAGTAATCAAAAGAGTATGGTACTGGCACAAAAATAGACACATAGATCAACGGAACAGACCAGAAAGCCCAGAAGCAAACTCACAATTATATGGTCAATTAATCTTCGACAAAGGAGGCAAGAATATGCAAGGAGAAAGACAGTCTCTTCAAAAAATGTTGTTGGGAAAACTGGACAGCTATGTGCAAGAGAATGAAACTGGACCACTTTCTTACACCATATACAAAAGTAAACTCAAAATGGATGAAGGACCTAAATGTGAGACCTAAAACCATAAAAATCCTAGAAGAGAGCACAGGCAGTAATTTCTCTGATATTGGCTTTAACAACATCTTTCTAAATATGTCTCCTGAGGCAAGGGGAACAAAAGCAAACTATTGGGACTACATCAAAATAAAAAGCTTCTGCATAGTAAAGGAAACAATCAACAAAACTAAAAGACAACCTACTGAATGGGAGAAGATATTTGCAAGTGACATATTCAATAAAGGTTTAGTATCCAAAATATATAAAGAATTTATACAGCTCAACACCAAAAAACCCCCCAAATAATCCAATTAAAATGGGCAGAAGACATGAACAGACATTTCTCCAAAGAGGACACACAGGGGCACCTGGGTGGTTCAGTCGGTTAAACGTTCACCTTCAGCTCAGGTCATGATCTCAGGGCCCTCGGATCAAGCCCCACAGGGTGCTCCCTGCTCAGCGGGGAGTCTGCTTCTCCCTCTCCCTCCGCCTCTCCCCCAGCTTGTGCTCTCTCTCAAATAAATAAATAAAATCTTTTTTTTTTAAAGAAGACCTACAGATGGCCAACAGACACATGAAAAGATGCTCAACATCACTCATCATCAGGAAAATGCAAATCAAAACCACAATGAGATATCAACCTCACATCTGTCAGAATGGCTAAAATAAAAACCACAAACAACAAATTCTAGTGAGGATATGGAGAAATAGGAACCACCACTGTTGGTGGGAATGCGAACTGATGCAGCCACTGAGGAAGACAGTATGGAGGTTCCTCACAAAATTAAAAATAGAACTACTCTATGATCCACTAATTGTCCTTCTGGGTATTTAACCAAAGAATACAAAAACCCTAATTCAAAGGGATACACGCATCTCTATGTTTATTGCAGCCTTATTTATAATAGCCAAATTATGGAAGTAACCTAAGTGTCCATTGATAGATAAATGGATAAAGAAGAGATTCATATATATAAATTATGGAATATTATTCAACCATAAAAAAGAATGAACTCTTGTCATCGGCAACAACATGGATGGAGCTAGAGAGTATAATGTTAGTGAAGTAAGTCAGTCAGAGAAAGTCAAATACCATATGATTTCACTTATATGTGAAATTTAAGAAACAAAAAAAAATGAGCAAAGGGAAAAAAAGAGAGAGAAAGAGAGAGACGAATCGAGAAAGAGAGAGACAAATCAAGGAACAGACTCTTAATTATAGGGAACAAAGTGATGGATACCAGAGAGGACAGGGGGTGGGAGGATGGGTGAAATAGGTGAGTTCATCAAAATTTAAAAATTAAAACTTCTGGTCTTCAGAGATAGAACAGAATGAAGACAAACGACAACCTGCGAGAAATTTGCTGAACACCTATCTGAGAGAAAGGACTTTTTCCAGAATATATAACATGCTCTTAAAACTCAGTAATATGTATCCAATTAAAAAATGGATTTGGGGGTGCCAGGGTGGCTCAGTTGGCTGAGTGTCCAACTCTTGATTTTGGCTCAGGTTAGGGTCTCAGGCTTGTGGGATTGAGCCCTGAGTCAGGCTCCATGCTTGGCGGGGAGTCTGCTTGAGATTCTCTCTCTCTTTCTCCTCCAGCCTCTCCCCCGACCACACTCACTCACTCTCTCTCTTCGTCTAATATAAATAAATAAATCTTAAAAAAAAAAAGAAAAGGAAAAGAAAAAATGGATTTGAAGGACACATCATTTAAAAAGGTATCTGTACATGGGGCGCCTGGGTGGCTCAGTGGTTAAAGTAGCTGCCTTTGGTTCAGGTCATGATCCCAGGGTCCTGGGATCGAGCCCCGCATCGGGCTCCCTGCTCAGCGGGAAGCCTAGCTTCCCCTCTCCCACTCCCCCTGCTTGTGTTCCCTCTCTCGCTGTCTCTCTCTCTGTCAAATATATTTTTAGAGAGAGCACACACCTGGGTGCATATGAGCCAGGGGTGAGGAGGTGCGGGGAGAGGAAGAGGGAGAAAGAGGATGTTTAGCAGGCTCCACATTCAGTGTGGAGCCCAACTGGGAGCTTGATCTCACGACCCTGAGATCATGATCTAAGCCGATATCAAGAGTCGGACACTTAACCGACTGACCCACCCAGGTGCCCCCAGGTAAGCAGTTTCTTAAAAAGTTAAATATACACTTAGCATATGATGAAGCAATCCTACTATTAAGTATTTTACCTCCCCCAAAATGAAAACATACGCTCACACAAAGACCTGCACGTGACTGCTTTTAGCAGCTTTATTCATAATAGCCAAAAAAACTAAGAACAACTCAAATGTCCATTAGCTGATGAATGCATAAACAAACTTGTGTATCCATACAACTGGAATACTACTCAGCAATAAAAAGGAATGAACTGCAGATAGATGCAACAAGCTGGATGAATCTCAAAAGGATTATGCTGAGTGACAGGAGCCAATCACAAAAGACTACATACTGTATGATTTCATTGATAAGACACGGTGGGAAAGGCAAAACCTCAGGGACAAACATGAGGCTGGTGGCTGCCAGGGGCTGATGGTGGGAAAAGGGGACTGACTGCAAACAAAAATGTTCTGTATCTCAGATGTGGTGGTGGTTACGTAACTATATGTTTGCCAAAACTCATCAAACTGTATACTTAAAAAGTAAGTTTTATTTAATGAAAATTATACCTCAATAAATCTGACTTAAGAAAAGAATAAAACAAACATAAACAACTAAGTGAAAATAAACATAAGAAAAATCAACTTACAGTTTTTCCAATTCAAGGGTCATCATGAGGATGCTCTCAATTGTTGGAAGTGACACCTGTGTTGTTCCCATGTCTCTGAAGGAGAAAGTCCAAACATGAATGATACCCAACACAAAAATTCTATACTTAAAAAGAGACTTAACAACATGTGATTAGTTAAATTCCGTCAAGCCAGCTCAAGAGTTAACTTGCTATGGACAATAATTTCAGAGAACATTTATTGAAGAAATTTAAATTTATGTGCATCATCAAATTAATCCCCGTGGTGATGAACAGTACAATCTCTTTTTACCATTATCCTACTTCTCATTCTCAATTGCATCCACCTCTCTTGATTAATCCTTTTTTTAAAATAATGTACATCTTATTCCACTTTGCTTTTTGAGACAAATGATATTTCTACATACATGATAAATGATATTTCTGCGTACATCTGCATGTTCCATATCTGTATGTGTTCTTCAATACTGCTTTCTTCCTCTGCAGGCTGTCTTGCCTATACACATTGTTTCTTTGCCAATAATTCTTATTTCAATAACCCAGTTAAATTTAAATTATGACTTTTTAACCAAAATGCAAAACACTTAATCTTTAAAAAACAGCAGAAATCATCTCATGAGCCATGAGATTGTTGTAATACTCACAAATATTTTAATGCCGGCAATTTAAAAAGATATGAATCTTCAACAGTTGTCAGAGGGTTACGACTGAGAATTCTGAAAAATGCAATGGAATTAAAATTATCTGCATTTTCAATAACTACCATGAAAGTTTATGTTCATTTTTTTGGTATGGGACTTGAAGGTTAAAAGTAATCATTTTCTGCCTCTGCCTATAAATCTGTAAAGCAGTCTCCCTTTGGGAACTACCCAGGTCTCTGAATGATAAAGTGGGAAAGAGAAAAAACATTTTTTTTTAAGTGGATGGCAAAGAACTTCTCAGGTTGAAAACCCCAGAAGAGACTACACTAGTAGGAAGCCCTGGCTCTGTAGGAAATACTATTTCTAGTGTCCTCCATGATTTAAGGTGCTTTTCTCTTATCTCTAGAAATTTAAAAAATTCCACAGTTTAAACCACCCAGTTAAAGACAAAAAGAGGACCAATTCCTCAGTTTTGGAGCCAAACAATAGGGGCTAAATGTAGGAGGAACTGGTGAAAGCTATGCTCCCACCACATGTTCCGTGTACCCTTGTATCACAGCCTTTGTCATGGCATGTCATCACCTATTTCCTTGTCAATCTCCTGGACGGTCAGCTCCTTGAGGGCAGGGACCATACTTGATTGTCATTGTCCCTGTGCCTGACATAGTGCTTGTTATTTACTAGTTATTTAATGAATGTTTGTTGAATAAGTAAATAACATTTTGTCATTCTATGACACAAGTTTTTATTCCAAAATGTTGAATAAATTTTCTTCTCAATGCTTGAAAAACAAAAAAGGTGAAAGAAATAGGATGAAAGAAAAGAAAATCTTCCTTGAGGTTGACTCTACTCAAGAATCATTGCTGTCCTTTTGCCAAATATTAGAAAGATAATCATCACAACCAATGCTATTGGACTGTAAGATATCTGTGATCCGCATTTCACATTTAATCCTCACAATAGCCTTATGTGATAGATATGATCATCACCCCATTGTATAAATGAGGAAACCGAGGTACAGAGAGGTTATGTCATTTGTCCTAGATTGTCAAGGGAGTCAGAAGCAGAGCTGGAATTTGAATTCCGTTTTGACTTCAAAGCCTGTGTTTAACTCGTATGAAGCAAAGGGGATTTAAAAATACTGTTACCTTCAACTTAACTTTGAGAGCACTAAATATGGATATACTTTGTTGAACTTCATCTCTCCATCTGGGAGAGCTTCTCTGAGAATTACATTTTCTATTTTTATTCCTTTTCTCTAATCGTCTCCCATGATTAAGTGTTTAATTAGCCATGGTCATTGAGACTTTAGAGATTTAAAACCATGTTATAGGCAAATCAGTTAAAATGGGAAAGTGAGGACATCTGAAAATTCATCTCTCGTAAAAGCAACAACAACAATGACAAAAACTGGCAAAAATGGTCAGAATTAACTTTTTTAGAAGTTTCGAAAATTTAACCAACGGGCTTGCAGCAACCCAGAGAGCATTTATTAAATAAAAACTAATTTCTATAAGAACAGTGAGATCTGTTGTTTTAACTTGTCCTAGACCTCTGCTCTCTATCCTGATGGTCACCTTGAAAAATAGCCCACATCCCGGGGGAGCAAAATGGAGCTGGATTTCCTTAAAGCCTCATTTTCAGAGAGCTGTCATTGTTTTAACTGTATAGTGGGTTCCCTGGAAAACCTCACTTGAAAAGCTTGTCTTTGACCTCACTGAGAGCTGCACAATGCTAAAAGCCTCTTCTTCTCAAGGGGCATTTTTAAAAAACAATTACAGGTAAATGTTTTATCCTGGTGGTCGTGTGAGGCAATGGATTAACAGGAGGGACAAAAAAATAGCCTAACCAAAAAGCTTAAAAGGAAAAAGCTGAGAAATAAGATGTCCACAGAGATTTTGAAATGCTTCAACATATTCCTGGGAAACCAGAAGACCACAAGACATATTCCTAGGAACGTAGGAAAAAACTTAGCACTAATAAATGGGGTCAGCAAGGTTGCACGATACACGATCAATGTGTAAAAATTAGCTGTATTTCTATACGCTAGCAATGAGTAGTCCAAAATGAAATTAAGAAAACAATTCCATGTGTAACAATATTAAAAAGAATAAAATACTTAGGAAAAAAATTAACCAAAGAAGTACAAGACTACACTGAAAACTATAAAACCTTGTTGAAAGAAATTAAAGAACATCAAAATAAATGGAAAGATATGCCACGTTCATGGATTAGAAGAAAATATCGTTAAAATGGCACTATGCCCCAAATTGAACGACGGTTTCAGCACACTCCCTATCAAAATCGCAGCTGACTTCTTTCCAGAAATTGGCAAGTTAATTCTAAAAATCATACATCAAATCAAAGGACCCAGAATAGCCAAAACAATCTTGATAAAGAAGAACAAAGTGGGAAGACTCATGTGTCCTGGTTTCAAAACCCAATTCAAAGCTATAGTAATCATAGTGTGATACTGGCATAAGAATAGACATATAGGGGCGCCTGAGTGGCTCAGTCGTTTAAGTGTCTGCCTTCGGCTCAGGTCATGATCCCAAGGTCCTGGGATCAAGCCCCGCACTGGGCTCCCTGCTTGGCGGGAGGCCTGCTTCTCCCTCTCCCACTCCCCAAGCTTGTGTTCCCTCTCTCACTGTGTCTCTCTGTCAAATAAATAAATAAAATCTTTAAAGGAAAAAAAGAATAGACATATAAATCGATGGAACAGAACCGACTGTCCAGGAATAAAGACTCACATTTATGTTCTATTAATTTTCAACAAGGATGCCAAAACAATTCAGTGTGGGAAGACTGGTCTTTTCAAATGGTGCTGGGACAGCTGTATATCCACATACAAAATAATGTAGTTGGATTCTTACACTTCATACCATATATAAAAATTAACTCGAAATGGACCAACTACCTAAATGGAAGAGCTCAAGGTATAAAACTAGGAATCTTTCTGACCTTGGATTAGGCAACAGCTTCTTAGACATGACACCAAAAGTACAAATAACCAAAGGAAAAATAAATAAAGTGGACTTTATAAAAAACAGACTTTTATGCTTCAAAGGACATTATCACAAAAGTGAAAGACAACTCACAGAATGGGAGAAAACATTTACAAATCATATGTCGGATAAAAGTCTAGTATTCAGAATATCCAGAATATAGAGAACTCTAACAACTCAATAAAAAGAAAAATAATCAAACTTTTAAATTGGCGAAGGATTTGAAGAGATGGTTCTCCGAAGAAAATACACAAATGGCCAATAAGCACATGAAAAGATGCTCGATGTCTTAAGTCATTAGACAAGTACAAATCAAGGCTATAATGAGGTATTACTTTACACTCACTAAGATGGCTATAACCAAACAAACAGACAATGATAAGTGGTAGCAAGATTATGGAGAAACTGGAACCTTCATACACTGGTGGAAACACAAAATGGTGTAGTCACTTGTGGAAAACAGTTTGGCAGTTCCTCAAAAGGGTGAAACATAGAGTTACCACATCACCCAGCAATTCCACTTCTAGGTATGTACCCAAGAGAATTAAAAACCTATGTCCACACAAAACCTTGTATATGAATACCCAGCAGCATTACTGATAATAGTCAAAAAGTGGAAACAATCCAAATATCTAATAACTGAGGAATGAACAAAATGTGATGTATGTATACAAGGGAATATTATTCAGCCTTAAAAAGAAATGAAGTACTGAGACATGCTACATGGATAAACCTCGAAGCTAACATGCTGGGTGAAAGAAGCTAGACACACATTTCTACGAAATGTCCAGAAGGGGCAAATCTACAGGGACAGAAGGTAAATTAGTTGTTGCCAGGGCCTGGGAGGAAGGGAGAATGGGGAGTCACAGGTGATGGGTATGGTATTTCGTTGTGGGGCTGATGGAAATACCTTGGCATTAGTGCTGACTATTGTCTGTCAAAGTATACCATTGGACTGTATACTTTATAATGTTGCATATTATATTATGTGGATTATATGTCCATTTAAAAAAAAAGAACCATATTGTGATAAATAGAGCACCAGTTGTCAGAAGACCAAATGTGTTGGTAGGTGGAGAAAAGGGGAGTAAAGGCTCAGACTCTTCCACAACGGAGGTCGGAGGGTGCCAATGGTGAGGCTGGGAGCCATGCTTTTTCTGGGCGGGGGTGGGGGTTGGGAGGCAGCGGGGGGGGGGGGGGGGGGGGGGGGGGGGGGGGGAAGAACCATGCATTTTTGTTCTTGCCTTGGAAACTCCCCTATTCTTCTTATTCTAGCCCATTCGTCTAGATTTTTTTCAGTACCATTAACATGTTGGATTTGTAACACTAGTTAATATTGAATAAGAGAATGTTACAAAGAGAAGAATGTGAGTGTCACATGTCTGGTTAAGCACCGTTCCTCAACGTTGAGGCTTTG